TCCATGAAGCCATTTAGCTCAAGCATAGGGAAGATCCTTGGAACCTGCCTTTGCTGGAGCTCCATTTCCATTTAGTAGTCAGTGGCAAGCCAGCCTTCCAGACTCAACAGCAGTCACACATCACCAATTCATAATGTCTGGAAAGCTCTTTTGTGCTAAAGGTTAAGTCTTTTCATTCCTAATGATAGTTCCCTATAACATCATCTGCATATATTACCCATTACTTTAGGGTGTTTCCTGTAGGTAGTGTGCTTCTGGCTTTCCTTGTTTCTTTGGTATTGTCTGGAAAGCAAGGAGGCTCCTTCATTTAATTCCCAATAAACTTTATTTCCCTGGCACAGTAAATCTCTCTCTCATTCATATTTATGTATTTTAAACAGCTCATCATAACTGTTTCATAAAAATACCCCTTCAATAGGAGGATGGAATAGCTTAATGGACTGGACCCAGCCATTATGCTCCCTGGTCAATACTGGTGAGGAGGAAATGACAGGTTTCTATGAGGCCCACACCAATGAGAGACCATGCAGAAAGCTGGCCTTCAACACCTGCACTGATTTTGAAATGGCGTCAGGGCCTTTGGTAATACTTAGAATCCTTCAACCACCTCATTGCCATCTCCCATGTCATCCCATTAAACTGGAATTGCCTGCTCCCATCTCCTAAATTTTCTGATGATCAGCTTTCACCTCCTCATCCTTTAGAATCTTCTCAGAGAGCAGCAATCATCTTCTTTCATTTTCTTCAAATTCTGCCTGCAACACCAATATAGGTACTTGTTTCTGCACAAAATACACCTTTGTTGATTGTTAGAACACCACACAGAATCCTGGTGTGGTGCAGTGGGTTAAAGCTCTGGCCTACAAGGTCAGTTTGAATCACAAGGTCAGCTGTTAAGGACACCAGCTGCTCTTCAGAAACCTTTTGCAGGGTCCCTGTGAGTTGGAACCAACTGGAAGGCACTTAACAACAACAAAGCTCCACACACTCTGGGTCCTCTTGATACAGGTTCTGGACACCCTTTTTCTCTATTCTGATTATCTTGAACACCCACTTCTGTCTGATCTAAGTAGGGCACCTTGTTAGATATTTAGAATTCTGGTTTACTCTTTCTACGTTCCCATTCATGAAGAATTGGTACTTTTATACTGATAACTCCCAAGTCCTAAGGTCAGGTATCAGATTTATGGTTCTCCATAGGACAGCTGGTATTGGACTAAATTTGAACTGGACTAAAATTTGTCCTTGTCAAACGGATTCATCATGTTATGTTTGTGTTGTCAAAAGACATTTTCTTTTTATTTAATAGACATTTATTGCTTTAGCTGAACAACTTCTACACACAATCAGAACATAGCATTTGAAAATGGAATTCAAGAATGAAGAGGTTTTGTTTATGGAGTCTGCTACAAATGTTTTCTAGAAATCATAATTGAGCCATGAGTCCTTTAATATGGGGACATTGGTTCCTGGGAAGTTTCCATCAGATAATGAAATCAAACTTTCATCAGCCAACTCAGCATTTGAGAACTGAGGCAATTATGTATTTCCTATACACTCATGGTGGGATGGTTTAGATGTTCCATAGACAAACCCAACAAAATGGTAGTATGTTTACAAGGTGGGCACACAATTGCTAAATTGTTTGTGGAATAGGGAGGCCCAGGGCTAAGCTAGCTACAGTGGAATGTGAACCTTCAGACCAAGATTCAGTAGCTTTATGGGACTAGATACAGTGGCCTACCAAAGATAATTTAAGGGTGATTGAGCTGACCAATTTTCTTTTATAGCTAATCTTTTTATTTTCACTAAAAAGGAGAGAGGGTCCACAATAGTCACAAATAAGTGGGGAAAAAACAAACAAACAAAACTAAGACTGCACGTCTATTCTCAAACACCTGAAAGGTGTTTAGTGGACCCAAGGGAGTTAACTTCATATCCTAGCTTGTACATCTCAAGGTTAAATAATTGCCTTGTTTCCTTCACATAA